GAGGGAAAGAAAACAGAAAAAGCCCTCCCAGGGTAGAGCTAGTGTCCGCCCGCAGGTCACGAGTGCTTCTGTATTTCTCTTGCCTTCTTGACTGACCCCCCTCACCCTGTCCCAGCCCAGCCGAGGACAATGATTCACCTTGTTTCCCATTTTTGCTTCCCCATGGTTGGCCCATAAGAGCCACTTACGAAAGTAGTTTGACACAAAAGAGAACTTGAAAGGCAATTTTATAGTTCATGCTCAGAAGACAGTACCAGGGTTTTCCAAAGACTGGAGCCTCTGAAATTTCGCTCTTTCAAAACTTTCAGACATTCCGACGTGGCTGAGAGGACACTGGGGTTGCAACGTGCTCTGGGAGGAGATTTCAGAGGTCTCAATGACGGTGGTCCAGTTCCTTTTCCTCCTGGGAAAAGCAAGTGGGATGCGAAGGTGCTGCTTCTCACAAACACCCGAGTAACCCAGGCCCTGGCGCATCACTGGGGGTGGCCGCAGGGCATCTCCCTGTTTGCTGCTGTCCCAGGAAAAGCCAGAAGCCAGGCTGGCTCCCTCCTCTGCTCTCCTATGGCAGACTTGGTCCAGGCGTCCGGGCCCTCCTCAGGCCACGCAGCACATCCTGAGCAAATGGGGCAGGATTGGAGGCGCTGTGGGAATCCGATGAACTATTCATTATATACTTGTTTACGTTAGATAATTAAAAGTGAAAATATAAAACAGAGCACAGTGTTCTCAATAGGCTTTAAACGAAATGACATACAACAAAACCATCTTTCCATAGACTAATGGATACAAACAAGAGTTAAGTTCCTACATCTTATTTCTGGTCACAAAAACATCACTGGTTATAAAACTTTATTTGCTAAATAAAGACCCCCAAAATTCCTAATATTAAACATTGAAATAAATGGGAGCTCTACATATATTTAAGAGAGATGAATAAAAACAAGATGATGATTTTCCAACCTGCTGATTCCAGTTCAGGATTGTGGTGGCTGGAGCCTCTCCCAGCAGCTCAGGGCACCAGGTGAGACCCACCCTGGGCAGAACTTGCATCCATCGCAGGGCCTCTTTCCCCCACACTCACACTGGGACAGTTCACCTACCACACACATCTCTGGGATGTGAGAGGAAACCCACGCAGACATGGGGAGACGGTGCCAACTCTACACAGACTGTGGCCCTGGCCCCAAATCAACTTTTTCTTCTCATTGTAATGAAATAACTTTATTCAAGGACCTGCTGTAGAGTAGTTTAGATAATTAATGTAAAACTTATATAAAACTCCCAAAGAGCAGTTGTTCCATTTGCTTACAGACATGAATACGCCTTTTTACATTTGTTTTTTTTTGTTTTTTTTTTTACTTGAACTAACCAGTCAGCTCCTGATCAAGACTTTAATGACGAGTTATTCACATTCTTAATCGTCACCATCAACAAAAAACTTTGTGCTGGGAGATGTAATAATTTTCATTGCTTTTTTAAAACAATTCGAAAATTTCCAACAGTAGAAATATATATATATTTTTTCACTGATAAAATGTGATACTGGTAATTCTCATAACAATGCAAATTCATTTCCTACCCTCTGGACTTTCTAATATGAGGCATTTCACAGTAATGGGAGCCGCCTGCCCTGGAGACTGGGGCACAGGACTGGCAGCCAGGACCAGGGCCCAGGTTGTGAGGGCCACACCCCTGGGCCTGGTGCAGAAGCTGATCCTCATGGGCTGTGGTGACCTGGGTGAGGCTACTCACAAGTGGTGAACAGGCCTGAGGATGACAGTAGTCCTGGCCCAGTGGTGCTGCCCCGAGGGCTGAGGGATCAACTGATTTGCATCCAGCTACTGCTCTTCCTAGCAGAGTAAGGTAGCTTCTTCCTGCCTCAGTCTCCCTACCTGTGAAGTGGAGCTAATGATACCTACCTGGTAGGGTTGTTATGGGGACTAAATGAGAGCCGTGCCTGGCACATAGTAGTGTTTATTAGATAAAATTAAAAGTTCAAGAGGCTCTGGAGCAAACCCCCAGATCACGTGCTTAGAAGCAGCCAAAAGCAGATTGCTTGGTTCTGAATTCTCACTCTGCCCCTCTGAAGCTGTGGGCCACCGCAGGCCCCTCAGCCTTTGTAGCCTCAGTTCATGGTCCACAGGTGATGATGGCACTGGCACCCGAGTCACGATGCATAGATTCAACAGGTCAGTTTACCTAAAGTGCTTGAAACATAGTAGGTGCTCAACAATGGCTGTTGTGACCGGGTCGCACAGCCTGCTCCCTGCTGCGCCTGCCTCCCAGAGAAGTCCTTCGCCTGTCCCACGCTCTTCTATAATTCATTTTAACTCTCTCAAGCAGTGTTTTTCAACCCTTTAATATTTTCTGTCCTTCACTTTTGGTCTCTCCAGGATGTTTTTTTCTTATTTTTAGAAAACATCCAAGAATGGCCAGCGCAGGGGCATCGAGCGTCAGGCACTGGGAATTCCTTTGCAAAGGCACGAGGCTGCCGGCAACCCCAGCCTTCCCAAGTCTCAAGTAAGAACCACACATCCTTCCTCATTCATATTTTATTAGGAAGTTATATCAAAGAATTAATCAGCTATAAAACTTTGAATATCAAAAAGGCGTTCTTATCAAAACAGTTGATTCACAGAGAAGTACCAGATTTTTCATGAGACCAGAAGCAAAGTCAAATACGGCTTTTCATTTTACAAATGTTTTTACATTTAATAGTCAGGAAAACGAAAACAGCTTTAAAAAAAAAACAACTTTGCGCAAATGTTAACATCAAGGAGAAGCTGTAAAAATGAGGCCGTTAAAGCTTAAATTTTAAAATCTGCAAGATAAGTGACATAAAATAAGTCCTCTTTTATTAAAATATAGTATCTATGTCTCTTTCCACCATATACACATATATCTTTCTCTTTAAATAAATATATATTATGCATTTTAATGATGTACTGAACAACATTCACATGGTGCTTTCGGGCTGTGGCATTTACTTGGTCTGGAAGATGGGTACCAGAAACTTGGGGTGTACGTGGATCTCTAAGGCAGACGGATCTCCCTGGTTTGGGAGTCTCTTGGCTGTCCTCACATGAGGACCTCTGAGTCTTCTGAGGAGTTGTCTGCAAACGAAAGTTCATCGGGCGGTGGGCTCCCCAAGGGCAGCCTGCTGGACTGGGACCAGGAGAACTCGCTATTCCCGGGCCTGTCCTCCAGTGAAACACCGTTCTTTCCCGCTGTCCCTGTCGCTGGGGTGGCAGAAGCCAGGTCTTCCCAGTTGTCACTGCCATTATTTAGAACGTACCTTCCCTCGTGAGGTCCTTTCTCATGAACCTGCGCTGTGACCACGCTGACCGCAGCGTTGGACGCGCAGGCAGCAAGGAGAGCGTTGGCGTCGATGTCCATGTCCAGCCGAGCGAGTGGGGGGCCCTCTGCCGGCCCCTCCCCGCTCTCTGGAAACGCTGTGTTGATATAAACGACGTCGGCTTTGTCCTGCACTTCGGGCAAACTTTCCAAGAACTTGTCTAGCTGCACCCTCAACATGGAAAAGGTGGGTCGGTCCAAGGGCTCAGCCCTCCAGCAAGAGTGCATTATTTCATACCTACAAGGAGAGGAGATGAGTTAACCCCTGGAGCAGCGCCGAGCCCTCCGTGCAGCCCACCCACTTTCACCTCGCCTTGGATTTTATCATATTTTAAAACAAATTTATTGATTGATTTTGGAGAGAGAAAGGGAGAGAGAGGTAGAGGGAGAAGGAGAGAGGGAGGCAGGGAAGGAGAAGGGGGGGGAGGGAAGAAACATCAATTTGTTGTTCCACTTATTTATGCATTCATTGGTTGATTTTTGTATGTGCCCTGACCGGGGATGGAACAAACCCGTAACCCTGGCATATCAGGTTGACGCTCTAACCAACTGAGCTATGGGCTAGGGGGATTTTTATCACATTTTAATCAACACTAATTTTACTTTTTGGAAATTAGTGAGGTTTTCCTTGTGGCAGTATTTGTTCAACTTTTATTAATGTTGCATGGGTATGTGATAGTGCTCCTCTGTCTCCAGGAATATAATACATACTGTGGCCCAGGGGCCAAATCTGCCCCACTGTCTGTTTTGTAAATAAAGTTTTATTGGAACACAGCTACATTTAATTGTTTATGTGTGGCTGCTTCTGCAATGACAGTTAAGTAATTGCAACAGACTATATGGCCTCAAAATAAAAATACTATTTGGCCCTTTATAGGAAAAGTGTGCTGACCCCTGTTCTGCACCATCAAGCTGGGTTTGTCACCAGGAGAGCGGAGTTAGAAGGGCCGGGGTGGGGATGGGGTGAAGGAGTGTGTGCTTCACTGTGCCAGGTGCTGTGTGTGTGTTACTATATCTAATCTTGTCAATAGCCCTGTCTTGTTACATTGCAGTAAAACTGAGAGTGGGCTCAGGGACGTTACAGAACATGCCATGGCTACGTGGGCAACGGGGCAGCAGGGGAACTGGCCTCCAGCTGGACAAGTCCCACAACTGGGGCTCCTCATGACCCCCTCTGCATCCCTTCAGAATGGTGTCCTCATTCTCAGTGTAATTCAGAATTACAATGTAGGGACATAGACATAAGCACAGTAAAACAGAGAGCTGACTGAATTAGGGAGAGTGAGTTATACCACCATTTCATCTGGATTCTTCCCTGTTTTGAGAAATTGATATTCATGTTGCTAGGTAAGGAAATGACCCAGGTGTTAATCATCTGACATATGTAGCAGACTACTGCTATCTTGTGAACATAAATATGCAATTCCCATATTCACATGTAATCACATCACGTAGAACTCTGGCTANAGCAGACTACTGCTATCTTGTGAACATAAATATGCAATTCCCATATTTATGCAATTCCCATATTCACATGTAATCACATCACGTAGAACTCTGGCTAATTCTACTAACACACACATACTTCGTTCCCTTCAGCTTCTATCAACAAAGCATGAGCTTCTGGGTGACGGGGGTCTGCAAGCGCTTTGCTGTGCACACAGGACCCTGAGCAGGCGTGATTCCTGAAAGGCCTGGTTCTCATTTGGACCTCAGCTCGGCTCTTTGACCCTCCCCTCCCTGTTTGACCTTCATGAGATGGCCACTGAGACCTGGCAAACAGCTTTTGTTTCCATTTTTGAGGTTTTTATGGTATAAATTGATTTGCATAGCTTCCTGTTTTCCACAGAGCCTTGACTGTTTGCAGTCTGAGATGAGCTTTGAGGAGTTCTGCCCTTAGAAGACACACTATCCTTTTTATTAGGCCATGAAGGCGCTGTCATTTATCTTCATTTATTCCATGTTTTAGGAGAAAGTATTTATATAACCCAGCGATTTTCAACCGGCGTGAGGCAAGAATTTTTAAAACACATAATACCTGACTATTTAGTCAGGGGACTGGCCTCTTTTCCCTTAGATTGTCAAATAAAATGACAACAATCAACACAACAATAGCCGTCCGCTGTGAATGAATCAAAATTATACCTTTTTTTTGGTCAGATCAGCAAAAACTGTATTTTTTGGTGTGTGACAGAACTTTAGAAATTAGTTTATGTGCCATGAGATGAAAAGGGTTGAAAATCGCTGACATAATCCACGTCCTTCATATAACATGGTAGCAATATCACTTTCAAAGTTATTTTTTTTCTTTGACTTTCAACACTTTATGAAATATGCATCAATTTAAATATGACTTGTAAAGACATGGCAGCATGTGTACTGTCTAAGCCCCTCCCACGCAGGGCAATTCCACGGTGGTGCACCAAGGAGGTGCGCACGAGGAGGGCTGTGACGGTCAGCGATTTCAATCTCAGGGATGGAAAGAGAAAACGTTTGGGAGTTGCCTTTGTAAACGGTCATTTTTGTTTTTCTACTGAGATTTTTATAAAAGATGTACTCACATAGGTTGCTGGGGCGGGGGAGTGGGTGAGGGGGATTACTGTTTCATGGGGGACAGAGTTTCAGGATTGTCAGATGAAAGAGTACTGGAGATGATGGGGGGCGATGGCTGTACACTGCGAGTGCACCTACATTACTGAACTGCGCACTTAAAAATGGGTAAGACGGTAAGTGTTATGTTCTGTGTATCTTACCACAATTTTTAAATTTTTATTTATTTTTTTAATATATCTTTATTGATTTCAGAGAGAGGAAAGGAGAGGGAGAGAGAGAGAGTGAAACATCAATGATGAGAGAGGGGCCCCCTGCACGCCCCCAACTGGGGATCGAGCCCACAACCCAGGCATGTGCCCTGACCAGGAATTGAACCCCGATCACCTGGATCCCAGGTCGATGCTCAACCACTGAGCCGGGAACCACAATGTTTTTAAAAAAAAGTTACAAAGATGCAATCATACAAATTCATAAAACTTATAGATTTGTGAATTTATCCATACTTGTCAAGCACCTGCTTTTCCCTGGCTCTGGGATGGCTGAATGCTTCACATCTGCTCAGAGAAATGACACCGGAGAGGCAGGCGTCACATTAGCAGCACATGTCTCTGTAGTGCTAAGCAGGGCACCGTGTGAGCTGTGACACTTGGCCAATGGAAAGTCCCCATTGCTCTCCTTCCCGGGGCCTGAGCTGCTGCAGGTGGAAGTGGAGGGACTCATAATAAGTAGAGGAGGGTTTCTGAGAGGGGGAAGGTGGGTGTGAACTCAGCCCTTATTCACACCGTGATGTCCCTGGGCCACCGTTGCCTGATGTGTGACGAGGCAGTGGAAGCGGACACCATGCCCCACCAGCCCGGTTTTCTCTGATTGGGTGGTAATTAGGGGTGGGATCGGAGGGCAGGGGGACTCTGAGGGACATCTGCTGGTTGATGGGACCCAGGGGGATACAGGAAGGACAGGGTGGCTACCGAGTGCCAGCGGAGGACGGGGGGAGTGAGTGCCAGTGCAGGAAGCACCGCGGTCAGCGGTGGGTATCCGAGGGCTACATCCAGGAGGCCATAAGCTCGGCTGAGGAAATGTCCTACGGAGATGACCAGGGCATCATGCAGAGTGGCCTCTGGGGCCAGGGGAACTGGCCTGCCACCTGGCCACTCGGAATGGGTAACACCAGGAGAAGAGGCAGCCTTGGAGGGCAGGATGGGAGGGCAGGACACAAAGTGCACTCCTTTACTTACAAGTGACATTTCTTAGAACTGACTTTAAAAAGACCGAGGGGCAAGTAACACAGGTGTGATCTCACCTCAGCTAAGGTTAGAGAGCAAATGGAGATGAAAAGCTGAGAAGTGGATCTCATTTATAAAAGAAAATGCCCCAGATATGGAAACAGAGGCCTCTTGGCTGATCAGCATCCAGATGGGAGAGGGGGCCCGAGAAGGAGGCCTGGTTCAAGCCTGAGGTGCAGAGCCAGCCTGGGGACAGGGACCACAGGGCCGCCTGATGCGCCTGACCTCCTGGCCACGAGGCGTGTGCTGACTCTGCGACTCTCACCTAAAAATCCTCACAGAAAACTGAGTCAGCGTTCCTTGTCTGGCTCTGCGTGAAACATCAGAAAACCCCGGTGTGACACAGCTCAGACCTTGCTAATCACTGCAAACACCAACCGCTTGTGGTGCAAAACAGAAGTGCGAGAGAGAAATGGCCACAAAACTCTCCGTTCAACCTTGTTGGGCTAAAACAGCTTCCTGCTTTTCAGAAGCAAACATTTCATTCATGTGGTGCTTTCTAAAACCACCATGAAAACCCAGATCTAATTTAATTAGAATTTCACAATGTTTTTAAAGGGCTTAACATTTTCTGTTTCTGTTCTTTAATGTTATAACTACAGTAACAACAACCACCACCACCAAGCAGGCTGAGGCTCTGGTCAATAGTTTCCTTCCGGGAATTTTCCTGCTTATGTGAATTTTCCACGTGCATGTATTAAAATTTTATTGCCTGGCTGGGCATGGCTCAGCGGTTGAGGTGTTCGATTCCCGGTCAGGGCACATGCCCGGGTTGCGGGCTCGATCCCCAGTCGGGGGCGTGTGGGAGGCAGCTGATCAATGATTCTCTCATCATTGATGTTTCTATCTCTCTCTCTCCCTCTCCTTTCCTCTCTCTGAAGTCAATAAAGATATATTTAAAATAAATAAATGAATAAAATTTGATTTTCTCCTGTTCAAAAAAATAAAATAAAGTTTCCTCTGTTTGGCTTGGATGAGACTGGGAGGCCTGCATGCCCCCTAACCAAGGATTCCCCCGAGTGAGGAAACAGAGCCAGAGTGTGTGTGTGTGTGTGTGAACAGTAGTGGGGAGGTCCCACACATGCCCACTGGCCCCTCCAAGCCTGAGCCCACACAGCAAGCCTGAAATCTTGCTGAATATAGAGACAATGTCTATAACCCCTGTTACATGGGAAGACACTCGACACTAGGGAGGTTCACATCACAAGCTAGAGGCGATGCCACAATAAGTCAGTTTAAGAAGGTGTTTGGGCAGGTGGTGTGTAATGATGTTATACTGTATTAATCAGCACCACAGTGTGCACTTGCTCTGTGCCTCCTGCAGGCTGTCCTGCCACATACTTCCTTCTACCCTCCCAATAGCTCTGAAGAATATGAGCCAGGACTTGACCTGTAGCTGATAACAAGGCACAGTGAGGTCAAAGCAGCTGCGATGGCTCCCCTGTGGGTAGGCAGAGATAGTACCTGGCCTCAGTGACTCAAAGGCCCAGGCCTCTCCCCATACCATCCACCCTGGAGAGGAGAGGCCTGTTTGGGATGGGCTATGCACACTCAGAGGTGGGGCTCTCATGCTTGGCTGAGCACCTGGTCTTCCAGACAGTGTTTTAAGACATGCACCTATGGGCCCACTTTATTTCAATAGCTCACAGTGTCCAGGCACAGGACAGAGGAGTCATGCTGTTAGAATATCCCCCATGCAATTCTGATGACCAGCTTGACCTCAGAGCCATGAGCTTAGGTTTCTAAATTTCCTGGGTAAGAATATTATTTAGATTTGCTTGTCTGAAATGCTGTCCAGGAAGAGGAGGGTGACTGTAGCACAAGAGGGCAGGTGGTCATTCAGGTACTATAGCATGTGCTCTAAAGTCGGTGCATTTATCTAGGATGCATTTCCCAGAGGTGCCTGCAGACCTACAGAACATGAGGGTTAACTGCACATATGCACACACCATCTCTCACAGCAGGAAAGGCTTTGGCCTGGACGTGCCACCTCTGCACAGGTGGCCCGGCTAAAAGCGACCCCCTCCCCCTGTGGCTGTGTCCCCAGGTCTTTGCAGACCCACTGGCCGCCCAGGCAGGGGGCCTGGTGACACTGAGCAGCTCACTCACAGTTCATCCAGGCAGTCCTCCGGCTGCTTCAGCCTGTAGCCATGCAGAAGATAGTCGTATATCTCGTGGTTCTGGACTCCCGGGTAGGGCGTCATCCCCCGAGTTGAAATTTCCCACATGGTCACGCCAAATGCCCACTGAGAACAAAACAAGAAGTTCGGATCTGAGTCTTTTCAGAAAGTCTGAATGGACTTTTTCATTGGGAAAGGTCATTTCCTTAAAGCCCCAATGACCGTGCACAAAGCTGACAATTATGTTTGAGACACGCTGATCTCCCAACACGGTAGTAACGCGGGGTTGGAGCGTCACTGTCCCCATTTTCCACTAACGCTGTTCCGGGAAATCTGACAAAGGCAGACTAAGCCTCCTGCCACATCGATGCTCAGGCGCACTGTGGTCATCAAGTGTTTTTCGCCTAGACTCTGGTTGAGGGTGTAACCACACAGCATCTTTTGTACAGCTTCTTGGTCCCATAGAGCAACTGTATAAACTTACTGAATTTAATATGAATATGAAATAGTTTAGTTGTGGGCGATAAAACGCTGTGTTGTAGCACAGGAAAATGGGAATAAATTAAGGTACTGTGCAAAGATAGACCTTTTGAATGTCAGGAGACCTCACCAGAATCTAGGGTTCCCCCTGAATTAGAGAATCTAGCAATAAATGAGATAGATGGGCCTGGCTGGTGTGGCTCAACTGTTAAGTGTAAACCCACGAACCAGGAGATCATGGTTCGATTCTAGGTCAGGGCACATGCCCGGGTTGCAGACTCCATCCCCAGTAGGGGGCATGCAGGAGCAGTCGATCGATGATCCTCTCATCATTGATGTTTCTGTCTCTCTCTCTCTCCTTTTCCATTCCTCTCTCTGAAATCAATAAAAACTTTTTTTTTTTTTTTTTTAAATAAGAGATGTGAGCACGCTCTCAACACTCAGTTTATCAGAGTAAAATGTTTGGCAACACACCAGCTAAGTCACTTCTTTCAGCTTCGTTCACCTCTGAAACTCAAGGTCCCAAATCAAAACTGTACCTACCACATCACTTTTACTGGTGTAGACTCGGTCCGCGAGGCTCTCTATCGCGATCCACTTCACAGGCATCTTAGCGATGCGGCCTTGGCGGTAGTAATCGCCGCTGTAAATCTTCTTAGAGAGGCCAAAGTCCGCAACACACACAGTCATGTCATCTCGCAACCTACAGAGAGGGAGTTTGAGTCCTCAGCTACATCACAGGCAAAGCCTGAAAGCACAGGTCTACGTCACATGCACATACATGAGTAGCCCAATGGCACAAGCCCCACCAGCCTGGGAGTATCCTGCTTGGGGAACAACGGCCCAACAGGTGAGGGGAGCAGGAGAGAAAGGACCTTGCGCCCTTCTGGTGTGTGTGGGGATCTGGCCCAGCAAGGCCACCTGTGCACAAGGATGGAGACACCTGGAGGGAACAGAGGAGATGCACAGGGGCAGAAGGAGCCCAGCTCAAATCCAGGGCCTCTGGGGCCTTGAGTGCCCCAGCAGCCTTCCCGCCTGAAGGCTGGAAGCAGCACTGGCTCTGTGGGCCCAGTGAGCTTGCTGGTAGCCTGGGGGAGGGGAGCAAGAGGGGGGACCCTGGGCTCCCTGCAGAGACAGCCAGGTAGTACTTGAGGAGTTACTCAGGACATTAAAGAGATATAATCGCACTGAGAGCGCAACCCATTAAAACAGATCTTAGACAAGGAAAAGGGAGAGAAATGAGTTTGTCTGGAGATAGAGTGACGACCTGTCCCTGTTTGCCTGACATTGACTTTAAAAAAACAACAACAAAAAACTGGACATCCCATGTCCTAGGAAACCCCTCAGTTCCAGGCAAACTGACAGCTGGTCACACTACCTGGTAGAAAAACATGAAGGAACTATTAATGGGAAAAAAAGATTTCCATAAGTCTCCCTCTGTGATAGAAAAGCTACTTAAATAAAAAACAACAGCAAGACCCTTCTGGCTTTCAAAAAGAGGTGAAAGTGGTAGAGGGCTCGCACTGGTTAGAAGGAGTGAGGGCAGCCCCACTGTTGTATCTCCAACCAAGAAAAGCAAATAAAAGCAACACACTGAAGGAATATTTCGTCTTCCGGCAACAGTAAACTTAAGACACCGTTTTGAAGACCTACAGCAGAGAATGGCTCTGCTCCTGCAATATGAAGAGGCGGGGGAACTTGTGCTCCAAGTGCCTGTGCATGTCCCTGTCGCTCTGGTCAGTGTGTCCACGGAACAGGGCGTCTCCACAAGGCGGGATCACGAGAACTTAGGGGCAGGCCATGCGGTTTGCATTACTGCCGTCGTGGTTAGCTGACTTACGTCTAACTCTGGGCCCACAGCAAGCTGATGGTAAGAGCAAGGATCACAAAGGTCTTACCTTGCCCTCCTAGGGCGTGAGCGTGTGAAAATAAAAACACAGCCACATGAGGGAGTTTTAGAGGGAGTGAAAACCTGACAGCACAAACCCAGGCAAGCTTCAGAGCCACAGGAATTCCATCCCCAGGACCTAGCTCTCCTACTACTAACAGCGACAGGCCAGCCCCTGTGTCCCCGCCATGAACGCCGACACCATGAGGTCTGACCCCCCAGGAAGCACCAGGACCCTTACATGCAGTTTCGAGCAGCTAAGTCTCGATGAAGGAAATTCCTGTTGCTCAGATACTCCATCCCCTGGGCAATGTCCACCATGAACTTCACCAGTGTCTGCACAGGAATGTGCTGGGGAACGAAGCAAGAAGAAAGGTTATTTTTAAAAAGGAAAACCTACAAGTTATCTCTGTCTGGGGGAAACGGTGTTTTTAACTCTTAACTGTGTGGCCGTGAGACACAGATACAAACTTTTCATTTCTGTATCACTAACAGCACAAATAAGGTTTTAGAAAAGGAATGAAAAACCCCAAACAAACCCAAACCCTATAACTGCCTGGCAAATACCACATGTTCTCCTTCCCATGTTTAAAATCAGTGCCAGGGAATAACATTCGTTTCCCATGAGATCAAACGGGAACCTCCGTGTCCTGAGTGGCAGTGGGATCAAGCGCCCATGCCACACAGAGAGGGGACACAAGGGTGGTCTGGCTTTCTTGGAGGGGGGGGAGGATGTGGTGAGGAGCTATAATGTTTTGAGGTAAAAAGCCCACTTTGAAGGAGCTGTTTCAAATTGTGCACCCTCCCTTCCCCTCTCTCTCTCTCAAAAAATCCCCCCAAAACCATATTTAAAAAGGAGATAATTATGCGGTAGAACTAATAAGTCCAGCAAGGGTACAGGTCAATATATAGAAATCAACTGTAGTTTTAAACACTAGCAATGAACAACCTAAAATGAAATCAAACAATTTTATCTGCAAAAGAATAAAAAATAAAATACTTAGGAATAAGTTTAACAAAAGAAGTGCAAAACTTACATATACTCTGACAACTATAAAACGTAAGACACTAAAGAAGATACAAATGAACGAAATGCTAGCCTGTGTTCACGGCTGGAAGATGAGGCCCTGCTGGAAGAGCATATTACGTAACTGACACCTAGTCCTGGGCCACGCTAGCAGGAACAGAAAGTATTTATTCCCCCCACGCTGACTAAACAGACAGCAAAGAAAAGATCTGAATAAAAGCTTGCTTTTCCAGTGTCTCTATGCATTTCGTGACTTCCAGCTTTACCTGTGGCTGCAAAAGTGTACATGGGAGTTAGCTTCCGACATTGGAGATATACTTGCATTTTTGCAAATAGAAACTATTCATTAGTTAGTAAAATGCTGTGTACTTCTTTCCCTTGTTATTTTGTTCAAACATAAGACGACAGCAGTACTTTTGGCTGCCACAGATAAGCTGATTCTGAAATTATATGGAAGGGCTACACAACTAGAAAAGCTAAAACAATTCTGGGAAGTAGAACAAATCCAGAGGAATCACACTACCCAATTTTAAGACTTACAATAAAGCTACAGCAACCAACACACTTTCTGATTCTGAGGACAGAGAAGCTCGAGATAAATAGATAGGTGGGTGGAATAAGTTTAGCCTCAGTGTCTCTGAAAAACAGTTCAGGGCATCTTCTGTCTGAAAACTGAGACAGGTCCTGCACCCAGGGACTTCAGAGTGAACAAGCTAAAAAGAGAGACTTCAAAAGAAACAGGCCACTCTGACATCACAGGGGGCCCCCTGGCTCCACTGTGAGGGGCATGAGACTGTGCTCCCGGCTGGCTTCCTTGCCTCATAAACAGGAATAACAGGACCTGGGAGCAGGCCTGCTGTGAAGGTGGATAACCCATTTCAACCCCCAGGGCACACAGTGAGCACCAAACAAAGGTTCAAGTCCTTGCCTTCCCTCCTGTATTTTCTAGGTCAGATGCTGAGGCTGTCCAGGCCTTGTCAAGCAAGCCCCAGAAGTGTCCAGAGGCAAAGCAACGGGTAATTAATTACCTTTGATCCCGTCTCCAGTCGGGAGTAGAGTAAATAGGTATGGAGGTCCCCGTATTTCATGAAGGGTAAAATCACCATGGGCTTCGGAGTGCCTTGGGAGCCCACTTCTATACAAACACCTAACATTAAGAGCAACATTAGTTACAAAGAGCCCTTGTTAGCAGTGACCATAAAAGCCAGCAGGGGCACGGGCCAAATTGAAAACACGTGCTCCCAAGTGAACAGTTAAAAAAACCAAATGCTCCTAACACACACCGTCTTCTAGAATAAGGAACACACCCTGGGTCCACATCTTGGTATTTTTTTGTCTTTCAGATGAGTGCCAATCTTTGCAGGAGAGCTCTCAAAAATCTATAATAAGCAGAGCCATCTAGAGATTTGTGGAGCTTTTTGTTATAGTGAGTCCAAGTGAGGGGCAGCGACCGCATCAGAATTCAAGAAACAAACTTGTTTCATGTGAGTTAAACACTTAATCGTATGAAGGCGTGCACTGAAACCAAATGCTTGAAACTATGAAAAGCATTCTGAGGTAAAATCCACATCGCTAAATTTTAACGGTTATATGCGGGAAAAACTGCAACCCATTTATCACGGAATTCTGCAACTAGAGCCTGCCCGTCACCTGACACCAGGCTTGCAAAGCTCCGCCACATTTTCCCGCAATTACAAAGCACGATTGTTCTCAGTCTGCTGAAGTCAATAGCTGCAAATGAGTAACAGTAGTTTCTTTGACATAATATTATATCCAAACATTAGCTTTCACATCTCCCTTACACTTCGAAAGTTCCCCAAAGAATTTAGCATTTATTTAATTGCAGGACAGCAAAAATAAGCCATCAGAATATCCAATTATTTTTAGGCTGCTCCCCCTCTCGAAACAGTGCCACTTACACAGCAACCGCTGGAACCTGATCTCCCTCCCCCTCCCCTTTGGTGTTTTTTAGCTAATGGTGCTAAAAGCCAAATTCTGACATTAAATTACGCTCCATTTTTACCCACTTTTACCATCAGCCTCCAAAAATGTAACTGTAAGGAGAAGCCTTTTGGATTGTAAATGACTTTGGGTTATACCAGGTTTCCCTTTGGCACAGAGTGGATGAGCCGAGCCCCTCTGGCCACCAGTCCTGCATTTCTCGAGGTACCTAGTAGTCGGATGACGTTCGGGTGGCTGAAGTCCTTCATGCATGCGGCCTCGCTGAGGAACTCCTCGATCTCTCGCTGAGAAAAGTTGTCCACTGAAAGGAGAAACGGGAAATCTCAGGCATGAATAACATACTCTGTGAAGGGGAGGGGCAATAGCAATTTTGTTCTCTAAAAGTAAAATCAGGGAAAGACACAACTGTAGCAACAGTAAACAGATGAGTGGTTGCCAGGGGCTGGGCAGGGGACAAAGAGGGGGTGCACAGGTGATTTGAGGGTGGTGAAACATCTGTAGGACTCTGTGACGGTGGACACGGGACATTATGTGCTTGTCAAACCCACAGAATGTACAGCACAGGGTGAACCCTAGTGTAACCTATGGACATGAGTCAATAATCTATGAATATGNATGACATTTTGTGCTTGTCAAACCCACAGAATGTACAGCACAGGGTGAACCCTATGGACAGTGTAACCTATGGACGTGAATCAATAATGTATGAATATGGGTTCGTCAGCTGTAAAAACTGCACCACCCTAATGCAAGATGTCAGTGATGGGGGGCTGTGTGTGGCAAGGACACGGGAACTCTGCAGTTGCTGCCCAACTTTTCTATAAACCTAAAACTGCTAATAATTAAAGTATATTTTAGTTTTAAAAAAACTAATGTCAAATCCAAATGACCTGTTGCAATCAGTCTGGCCTTCAAGAAGGAATGTGTGCCTCTCCATCATGGTGCCGGCACTCCGGCTGCTCGGCCCTGCCCTGCGAACCAGATACACTTTCATACCAAGTTTCTGGAATTAAAGCCCCTTAAGAGACACATTTAAAATTCTACACTATGGTAAGTGACAGAAGCCAGTGACAAGAGGACACAGAACGAGGTAGGAAGAGGAGTCGAATTTACAGACAGAATTAGAAGGGGGGCGCTGGGGGTGGGGGTCGAGAGTTGTTTAATGAACCAAGTTTCAGTTTTGCAAGACAAAGGTTCAGGAGATGATGGTGGTGATAGGTGCACAAACTGTGAACATGCTTAATGCCTCTGACCTTTAAAATGGTTAGAATGTTATGTGTATTTGGTTGAGCGTCCACCCATGAATCAGGAGATCACGGTTCAAATCCCGATCAGGGCACACGCTCGGGTTGCGGGCTCGATCCCCAGTAGGGGGCTTGCAGGAGGCAGCCGATCGATAATTCTCTCTCATNGATTCCTGATCAAGGTACACGCTCGGGTTGCGGGCTCGATCCCCAGTGGGGGGCGTGCAGGAGGCAGCCGATCGATAATTCTCTCTCATCACTGATGTTTCNAAATCCCGATCAGGGCACACGCTCGGGTTGCGGGCTCGATCCCCAGTAGGGGGCTTGCAGGAGGCAGCCGATCGATAATTCTCTCTCATCACTGATGTTTCTGTCTCTCCTCTCTCCCTCTCCCTTCCTCTCTCTGAAACAGACATATTTTTTTAAAAAACCAAAACACACAGAAAGCCAGGTGTGCCTTAGGGAATCTACTTTAACAGGCACAAGGAACACCTAAAATCACANGATAATTCTCTCTCATCACTGATGTTTCTATCTCTCCTCTCTCCCTCTCCCTTCCTCTCTCTGAAATAAATAGACATATTATTTTAAAAAACCAAAACACACAGAAAGCCAGGAGTGCCTTAGGGAATCTACTTTAACAGGCACAAGGAACACCTAAAATCACACAAGAGCATCCAGCACAATGTCTGTACATCCTACGGGTTTAATATAGATTAATCTTCCTATAAAAACAAATTTTAAAAAATATAAAAAAATAATTCTATAAACCTGCAAAATGTCTGCCACTTAGCCCTCACCACCTTTAGCCTTTGCTGCAAAAAAGGAGGTGGGTGAGCGGAACAAAAGGGGTGGAGGTCTGCCTGCAACCCCCGCCCCCAGGGGCCAACATCCAGGCAAATGCAGAGGAGCCTGCAATTGGAGGCCAGAGACTAGTCTTTCAATCTTTGATAATTAGCACAGATCCAATTCCTATACAAGTTACTCTAATTAAGTTGAAAAATAGCAGAGCCAAGGCTAGAGAGGAAACAGGTTCCAGGCCCAGCTACTCTGACCAGGTTCCCTAAACCTTCTACTTGGCCAATGGGGACGACAGGAGCCTCTCCACGAACACATTGTGAGGTTCCAGTAAAATGACGCGAGGNGTGGCCAATGGGGACGACAGAAGGAGCCTCTCCACGAACACATTGTGAGGTTCCAGTAAAATGACGCGAGGCAGGACCAGTGCTGAGTGTGGCTGTGTGCCGGGTGCAGCTCCAGGGAGGGTGCAGCTCCTCTAAGCTCAGGGTGAGCCTCTTTCGCAGCTGTCCCAATTTCCCCGCCCTGCTGCACTGATGAAACGGGTGGTAGCTGCAGTGCCCTGGGCACACGGTGAGGACTCCACAAATACTGGCCATTAGCGGATACAGGAAAAGCAAAAAGCACCAGCCCACGTGACTGGCTGGTTATGATGGTTATTTTAAATAAATGAACTAAAACTTTAGCCTCTGATTCTGGTTAAAAAGCCTCAAGAGATGCTCATAATCTAACTTACACTTAATGCCCAGTAAACAGTGGATTTAAACTTTAGAAAGAAACCAATTTTCCTTTATTCCTTGATCAAAAATATGATTGGGTTTATACAGGGGGTTAATGAGGAAGCGATAGGAAGAACCTGAATGCACGAAGCACGAATCCTCTCCCTCCGAGTGCAATGACTGGGAGGACAGCTGCAGGGGACATGGCACGCGATCGGGGTCTATTTTACGGGTGCCGGCTGAACACCTGAAGAATCAGACTGAGACAGTCGTGGGGTCACATGCTGCCACCAGATCAGCCATGCCAGAAATTCATGCCTTACTTGGAGTCATCAATGAGAAAGGGAGAGAGGATGACATGCTACTGCTTTGAGTGTGGAGGACTCTCTAGTGTAGGTATGAGGAGCTCATTATAGTAACTGTCCCTCTGTGACCAGGCAGCGCTCTGGGTGGCCTTCTGAGCCAGCGGCGACTGAGATCGTGACATCTGAACTCCATCCTGGCTTCATGGAGCATCAGACACCGAGCAGCCATCCAAGCCTAGAATGGGTTTCGTGGGTGATAACTCACGTTTCATGGTCTTCACGGCCACTTTCTCAGAGGTCCCATCTTGCTGACTAAGACTTCCTTCCATGACCGACCCAAACTCTCCTGTGAAATAAAACAGCACCTATGTGGACCTTGTGGAAAATCTCTCCTGACCACAGAAACACCACAGTGCCAAAGCCACATTTTCATGTGGCCCGAGAGGACCCAAGCACGGCAGCCAGGCAGAGCGGCCAGGCCACCCACACTTGCAAAACAGGGCACAAGCCAGGCACTAACCTCCTGCTTGTCACCACCTTGGCTGGCTTGGACTTAGCTCAGTTCACTGTGTTACAGGACAACATGGAAAATGTTTTTGAAATTCATACAGTAGAAACTCTGAACACCACCATCATTCATCCTAATATCAGAATATCAGGTTGACAGATTAAATGTGTATTTTCACCTTTGTTCCTATTTAACTAGGAAGGTGCCAGGAATTATAAACTTGAGAACTAGAGGAATAAATTTAAACGATGTAGGAAACCAACTAGTGAATTACATGCTATTCAATGGAGGAAGGGAATTCATATTTGCAGGGCCTCTTGTGTGTGCCAGGCACAACAGAGTCCCATTCATATGCCCAGTCTTCGTTTCAAAAATTACTATTTTTTTCATTTTAAATAAAATAGAACTATTTGTATTATCAATTAAAGTCACAGAATGATATTTTATTTAATAAATAGATATATTTTAAAATTACTGTGAACTGCTTACTTTCTTACCCCACATTTTAAATTAAACTGCTTACCTTCACCCAGAATTTTTCCAAGAATTAGAAGGTTCCTGTCAATCACAACATCTTCCAGCTTACTCTGCAGCTCCTCGCTGACCCCCAAGCTACGTACTATAAAAGAAGTGACAGGGGACATATGAGTTGTCAGAGTGTTTCCCTTCATTGGAATATAATTAAAATTATGTATAAAGTCCCATAAAATAGTTAAACACTTTTTCCATTTTATACCCCATAGCCCTCCTCCCCCAAATGCCAGTAATAAAACATCACACTTAATTCTACTATGATTAAATTGAATAAAATGAATCCTTCGGGGCAAGATTAATTCTGAAAAATTCTAAAAATCAAGACCACATCTCTCCTTCCAATGTGCGGTACCAGCAACTGGCCATCAGATTCCTGCTGGGGAGGTTCGCCCCTGACTAGGGAGGAAGAGAGGTCAACGGGTCCCTTCCAGCGGGGTATTTACCTTTAGACCCCTAAGGACGGGATACAAAGGAGCCATCGGGAGCCTCCCATCCTCTCCTCCAGGGAAGGAGGTGCAGAAACCAAGGACACACAGAGCACAAGCTACTGCTCACGTGCGGTACATGAGCCTCATCACACTGACATGGCAAGTGCGAAACTAAGTACCTGGCGGGAGGACCAGAGAACGAGGTCTTCTGTAATAAGATGCAGATACGCAGCACCGATAGCACATGCTACCAAGAAGGGCCATTAACCGGGAGAGGGAGACCCGTCTGTTCAATGACTACTTGGCAAATGACTCCGTGTGTGCCCCAGCAAGGCAATAAGCAAGATTTTGAAAGAAAACAACAGCAGCAACATAAACATGGATAATCTGGACACTTTAGCTCTTTGTGAAAAAACTTTACCTAATGGTCCTCCAATAAAGAAAAGAAATGAAATTGGTCTAAATGAAGAACTTTTTAGAATGTAAGAACATCTAAGTCAAACTTCTAGATTAGAAAGGCAAGGAAGTTGTAACATCCTACATCACACAAGTTTTTATTCCACAGTTGCCTGTATCCATCATTCTTGTATTTGGTTTGTTGTTCTGGTATTTTTGGCAAGCATCCAGAAGCTTAAATTTGAAAGTCTTTGCACCTACTTCCTACACAGTTTCTGAAATGACCAGGGAATACAGCTCTTCCCGCTGTTCAACGAGAAGAGCGCCCATTGTGACTCAGCAAAGCCCAAACCGTAATCGATACAAAGTGTGTTAGCAAATCTTCTGAGTTGGGGGCCAGGACAAAAAAGGAAACAACAAGCTCTGAGATCATCAGTTGCTTTGCCGTTTCCTTCAAATCCCTGACCTCTACCCACATCTCCTATCACTTTTGTCTCCATGTTCAAGGCAGTGGAGGCCATCACCCCAGCTACTTCGCCCCGTATTTCCAGTAAGTTGGACGGCAGGGAGGCACAGGGTCATGTCTGACTACCTACTTGCTGCATATACATCTTGCGCAGTAAAAATACCCATTCTTTGACTTTTTTGGCTCTTGTGAGAAATCTGTCAATGAATTGGTTGTTCTTTCTTCGCTCTCAACTATTTTAACTTTTGGCAAAAAAGGGAAGTGAAAGTCAACGTACAGGTGAGTTTGATGGCTTGCCGACAGAAGGACTTCTTTGCTGTGTAGTTGACGACCAGTTCCACATCTTCCCCAGTGAAGGCGGTCCTGGGTGAGGAAACACACATCTCAGGCTGTAGCAATAGCAGGTGCTGACCCCACTGCCTCGACAACTGTCCCTGCTCTTTACTTTTTTTTTTTTTTAATGTTTTTATTGATTTCAGAGAGAGGAAAGGAGAGGGAGAGAGATAGAAACATCAATGATGAGAGAGTCATTGATCAGCTGCCTCCTGCAGGCCCCTACTGGGGATCAAGCCCATAACCTGGGCATGTGCCCTGACTGGGAATTGAACCATGACTGCCTGGTTCATAGGTCAACGCTCAACCACTCAACCATGCCGGCTTGGGCCTTGCTCCTTTACTCTTTCACATACATTTGAAATCAGCTTGCCATTTATCAACAACCCTGCAGCAAGTTACATAGTGATTATATCGAATTTATGCTTAACTTGGGGAAAATATGATCTCTCAAACAAAACAGCTCTCCCATCCATGAGCATGGTACACATTTCCTCATTTATTTAAGTTTTCTTCTGCTTATTAGTAAAGTCTATTAATTCTTTCCCCAAAAGTTCTTGCATGTATGTTGGGCTTATTCCTAAGAATGTGATAGTTTTCATGCTATTGTGGGTGGGATCTCATTCCTGCACTTTGTCTTTCATATATTTTTTAAAAACACATATCTTTGTTGATTTCAGAGAGAGAGAGAAACATCAGTGATGAGAGAGTCACTGATCGGCTGCCTCCTGCACGACGCCCATTGGGGATCGAGCCTGCAACCTGGGAATGCGCCCTGTCTGGGAATCAAACCACAATCTCCTGGATCATAGGTCGATGCTCAACCACTGAGCCACGCCTGGCTGGGCTTTCTCATGTATTTTAAAACCAAAATCAAAATATTTTTACAACATGTGATGTCCTAGAAAATAATTCCTCCTGAAGGAAGGCAAGAAAAGAGCATGCCTAGCGGAGACTTCAGAAGCAAAGAGGTACTGAATTCCCAAAGACTGCCAAGAGCGGCATTGCTACGTGCTATTCCTAAATGCCTGGCTAAGCCTCAAAAGGCAAAGCAGCACCCTCTGCTTCTGCGCCCACCCCTCCAGCTTCCCTCAGCTGCACGCCTGGGTCCCCCACCGGGCGCCCTGGGAGCTGAGGACAGCCACGGCAGCTTTGGCCATCATCTTGGAGGTTCTGTCCTTACTGAGCCTGCATTTGAGATGGCCTAAGCAAATATGTCTATGCATCCGTCTATATCAATTATTGTTTCCTCAGCGATAATGATGAGTGCCCACTTGATGACATGTACTGCACGCTGCCACCAGTGCTTGAGGACACCTGCACCTTAGACTCAGCACCTCTCCACACATGACTGAGTCTGAAAGCCTCAATTCAGAATCACAGCAATTAAACTGGTGATAATTTTGGAGACCATTCAGAGAGAGAGAGAATGCACAGGAAGCCTGGATAAAGCAAAAGACTTGTTCAAGCGACAGAACGCAATGCCAGACCCCAGACGTCACAACTGGAATCTGGTGCTGCCTCTTTGTGGGCCAGGGTCCCTGCACCACGGGGCCTTTACATGTGCTGCTCTTTCTGGCTGAAATGCTCTTCTCTTCTCTCTCATTTAATCAACACCTGCCCTTTCCTCAGCTTAGGTTATCAGCTCTGCAGGGAGGCCTTTCCTGCCTTAACACAGTCAAATCTGTTCTATATTCATAAGGGTCCTTTGATAAGAGAATTTGCCACAGTTGTTTTTTGATATTCACTTGTGTGATTACTGCCTGATTCCCCACTAACTGTGGGTCTCAGAAGGGCAGGGGCAGTGCTTACCGTACCCCAGGCTATCACAGTGGCCAGCGCCTAGTAGGCCTTCAATGAGCTGCTACTACACCTTCTGCACAGGGTCTCTGCAAGGAGCCCCCAAACGATACCTAGACTCTGGGGTGTGTTATAGTCAACCCAATGTCCAGGATTTAGGTGAGATTTTGTCCATGTCTTTAACACAGTCATTATTAGAATTTATATACTAAGATAATAGAGTTGTTAAGTACTGTGTGTACCTGACCACCAGAACTGAAAGATTGCACAGAAAGGGCAGCTTAGCCTCCACAGCTGAGCTCCCCCTCCACATCCACGGGGAGTTTCTGAGTGAGTGCAGCGTGCTGATGGTGTGGGGCCGTGAGACAGGCTGCACAGCTCCGCTCCCTCGCTCTCTCATCCTGTCCCACTCCAAGCTGCCTCCACCACAGTGACAAACTGGAATTCATGGAAACCCAAGGTCACTGCACAAGCGTTGGGGGAGGACTGAGTTCCAGGGACACTGGCACATCCATCCTCGTAATCCCAGGCTGCTTTAAAGTAGCTTCTCATTTTTCTTGATATTCAACTCCCGTGTGGTTATAAATGTCAGATGTATGGAAAATAAGAAAAAAAGAGCTTCTTATAGATTTGAATGTAAAAATATAAAGTTTTTCTCTGTTGGAAAATAATCGATCACTACAGAAAATGTGTAAAACCCAGGAAAAAAAGGAAACACAGCGTTACCACAATTATAAAATTGCTAATGCTTTGGTGAATTTCCTTCTTGTATTTTTATTTGTACATACATATCCCCTGCTTGATTTTGGTTAATAATTAGGGTCAGTTTAAAGACTTATAAAAGTGCTCATTTCATAGCAACAGGGTTTGAATAGCGAAACCCTGTGGATGGGCTTCTCTACCCATGAGCCCTCCAGGCTGGCTTTCACTGCTGGCTGCCTTTGCAGCACGAGCCTCAGTGAGGACGCTGCCCACTGCGGTGTGAGCACAGACAGGGCTCCCAGCTGGAACACTGAGGAGTGGGCCCGGCAGGACAGGCATTGCCACTTGGCATAACCATCGCATTGATACCACGAAACAGAACATTTTGTTGTTGTTGTTAATCCCCACTTGAGGATATTTCTTCCATTGACTTTTTTAGAGAGAGTGGAAGGGAGAGAGAGAGGGGCAGAGAGAGGAAGAGAGGGAAGAGAGAGACACACATCAATTGGTTGCTTCCCACACAACCAGGGCTGGGGATCAAACCTGCAACCCAGGTATGTGCCCTTGACCAAGAATTGAACCCAAGACCCTCTGGTGCATGGGCTGACACTCTACTAAGCCACACTGGCCAAGGCTGAACAAAACATTTTTTAACCGGGACACTTACCCAAACCTTGTCTCCTGGACTCTTTTTCTGATGGCCAGAGAAATATACAGAACCAGGCCAATCAGAATAAATCCGCAGAAGCAGCCGAGGACAATGAGCACCGGGTCTGTGCTGCCAGGCGCTGGGGCCAACGAGGGGGCCAAATCTACCCAGCCTGGTAAGAGACCAACAGAAACAATCCAGAACATCTCTTTGAATCCGAAATACACACAAAACACTGGCTTGTACTGCAGAAGAGCAGGTGGCCGTGAGCTTTAGAACTAGTCCCCCGAGATTCCGTGACCCACAAGCCCAGGCAGCCCTGGCTGAGACTGTGCCGGGATCTCGGGAGTCAGTGGGTAACCACGTCAGCAACAAAAGTATACGAAGTACAAATGGTCAAATTAACATTTATCTGGTACACTGCAATTAAAACCCTGGAAACACTGAGAATTAGCATGTTTGTTTCTCTGTAAACACTCATCAGGAGTGGTGTGAACAGGGCGTGCCTCCTTCCAGCCGTCTAACTTATGACGTGGACAGAATCTCCTTTGTGCCCGCGAGTTATCACGCTCCATGCTGAGTTTGGATCCACTCCCGACACCTCATCCTCTGTGCTTTCAACGCCAGTGTGTCTCGGGGTTCCTTCATGTGAAGGTCTTTGCTGGCACACCTCTCTCTGGGGCATCTTCCTCCTTTTGGGCACAATCTTTTTGAGACTTCTCTGGGTCTCTGGCTGCGTGTCTAGGGTCTGTGAGCTTTCCTCCATAATTCCACACGCATTCAACTCAGATCTGACTGCAACACTCATGCTGCCTTTCTCTACTACGCTTTCATCAGTGACCAGCCACCAACACACTTTGAGAAGTAGCACACAAGTCGTGGTCAGGATGAGCCTATTACTTATGTGGATTTGTGGACCGAAGAGCCTGTGGTGAAGTATATATCCTATGCAGTCCTCACAGTTAATGTAAGATGGTAACTGAAATGTGTGAGTACTGGAATCGTGCAAAATAAGGACTGCCAGTATAGCAAAGCCCTTCACAGTTCTGGAAAGTCTATTATATATGAAGATAAAAGCTCTGTCATCTTAAAGTCTGACTTTTTAAGCTGTGCCTTTAGAATCAGAATCTCATTGTCTTTGAATTTCTACCAGGCAGACAAGCCTTGGGTCCCCATCACCAGTTACTAATGGTCCCAGGTACAGAGCCTATGGGCTCCCAGACCTGTAATATGGTTCCAATTCTGCACTGAAGGGAGAGGGTCACTGGAAGAGACCGTGAGGGATTCACTGGTCTGCTCACAAGTCCTGTCTGCTATGAGTACAAAGACCATGTTTGCAAGGACTTGTAACTGCACAGGTCACTGATAATCAGAACAAAGCCTGCTCCCCTCATCTATGAAGCAAGCACAGCGTCTGGGCCACGTGGGGCACCGTGGCGGCAACTTTTTGCTGAAGGACACTGCAACACCACGCAGAAGCCGGCACGCAGGGCCAGGCGCTCAGCTCAGGGAGCCCAGGGCCATCTGAGGGCGGCTTCTGCAGGAAACACTGCCTGCTCGTGACGCTCACTGCCCAAGGCCTGGATGGGCAATGATGTGACCAGCAGCACTGATTAAAACAGCAAAACAAACACTAGCAAGTAAACAAACTGTAGCAGTTCTAGGGAGTGAAGGATCAGCACTGCCAACATTCGGACGGTACAGGTCATTTAACTATACTCAGTAAACCAAGTCCAACTAGGTCCCCTGAGCGGACCGATCCTCCCAGCCAGTCAGAACCATTCACAGTCACACTAGTGGGAGGACTCGCACGTTGAGGTGTGTTATCCTATCAAGTCTCTTTACAATGGCAAACGGGTCTTTAGGTTTCAGCCTTAAGCCGGCTGTCCTCCCCCCAGCCTGCTCTCTGGGAATCTGTGTGCTGGATGGACCTGCTCCAGCAGGGGACGGGAGCCCGGCTCTCACCGTGCGCGGGGACGAAGATTTTCACTGGGGCACTGAAAGGTCCGACCCCGCCCGTGGTGACGGCGGCGATCCTCACTGTGCACGTGGCATTGTGGACGTGAACAGGAATCTGAGCATGGCTGCCGTTCTGGCCGACTTCTTCAGATAGCTCTTTCTGGGGGTGGACAAGAGAGGAAAGGAAATGAAACACTGAGCTGCCCGGGGCACGTCGCCTAGTCCGCCACAGTTCTGCCTGATCCCAGGAACAAGTGGCCACGTTTCCACAGCGTCCCTTCCTCACTTGGGCCACAGCCAACAGAACAAAAGTGCAGCGATGCAGTGATGCAGGGACGAAGGATGGGCTGGCAGGAACCAGCGTTGTGAGGGCACAGCACTTAGGGTGGCAGTGAAGATGCCTCTGGAAGAGAGGGGGCATGTGGCCCATGCACCCAGATGCCAAGAGCAGGATGACCCCAGGCCCCCTCTGCACCACCACAGGGTGCTGCCCAGGAGCCACACGGACCCTGATCACCTGCCAGCCTCCCCTGAACCAGTACAAGGGGGCTTGTTCCTGGCAACTGCAAGAAGTTTGACTAAAATCTCCATTTAGGAGGGTATTGACACTGTTTTTTTCCTACCAGTGTGATAAATGCACAATTTGCCCAATTTTCAAAAACCTGGTTTTACTTTTGTTTTAAAAGCCACTGCCATATAAACGAGCCGTGAACACACAGGGGGTGGGGGGGTAATTTTGAAAAAGTAACTAAGACTAAGTGTTTATACAGCACTTTACTCTGTTTCCAAAACTTGACAAATGATGTTCTCTGGGGTAGGACTGACTGTGTCAGGTCTGGGGCTGGCTGTTCAAATAGGGACTGTAGGGGATGAAGCTCTCTCATGTCATTCTCAATTTTGGAAATGTGACTTTGCAGAGAGAGAGAACTGTCAGGTCATGTGGAGCAGACGTCACGGATCACCAGTGAACAGAGGGGATCACCAGTGAACAGAGAGCTTGCTATGGGGGTAACTTCATTCCCCGGTCACTCAGTCTCATCCCAGTCACTTCTGACCATCGTGCAGGATGGAACCAGCTCAGCCCTTAAGGAGAGGGCAGTCCCATCACTCGTGACCAAAGGGGAACCTGGGTCAGCCACCCAGAGGCTGTTTCTAAATCTGACAGGCAGTGACCATCGGACCCAGAATGTCCTCAAAGATGAAAAGAGAAAACACAGACTTAAAATTTTTGGGTTTTCTATCCCATTGGACTCTATTGGTGCAAAAAGATTTGCCAAAGGTTTTATCATTAAGTAAACAAATTAATAATTAACATTTTTGGGGGGCTATTCAGGCAACATCTTTCTTAGAAACAGAGCATCTTATTATGGAAAATCCATTTTTTTTCTAAAATTGAAATATATTTGACATGTACCACTGGATGAATTTAAGGTATACAACATGTTGATTTGATACATTTAAATATTATCATATATTTTGCCACTGTAGCCATAGTTAACAACTCTATCATGTCTCACGATTACCATTTCTTTTTAGGAGCTGGAATAATTAAGATCTAGTCTCTTGACAGCTCCTCAACGTACAAGACTCCAAGCCTGACCAGGGACATGGGTACTATTTGTCTACAAAGACTCAAATACAAGACATTGGGTATGAGAGAAATTGGCTCAAAATAAGAGGAAATGCATAAGAATTAAAATCTCTAGCCGTGGCCGGCACACTCAGTGGTCTAGAGCGTCGGCCTGCACACAAACAGGTCTTGAGTTCGATTCCTGGTCAAGGGCATGTACTTGAGTTGCAGGTTCAATCCCCGGCCCTGGTCAGCACATGTGGGAGAGGCAACCAATCAATGCGTCTCTCTCACATCAATGTTTCTCTTTCTAGTCCCCCCACCGTTTCCACTGTCTAAAAATCAATGGAAAAAATATCCTTGGGTGAGAATTAACAAAACAAAAATAAATAATTAAATCCTTAGGAGAGAAATCCTAACAACAGAATTATTCGTTTGGAAATAAACCTAAGAGCACTTCATAATATCTATTGGCTTAGGGCCTATAACTGACCACGAAAACCCAGAGAAATGACTTTATTTATCTACTTTTTTATTTATTTTCCCATCACCATTTATCCCCTCTATGCCCTCCTCCTCCACCCTTCCTGCCCCCCCCCCGAAATCACCACACTGTTGTCCACGTTCAGTTCTCTCGCTTTTGCTCAATCCCTCCACCCGCCGACGCCTCCCCCCTCAGAGCTGTCAGCCTGTTCTCTATGAGTCTGTCTCTATTTTGTTTGTTTGTTTCTTTTGTTCTTTGGATTCCACATATAAGTAAAATCCATATGGTACCTGTCTTTCTCTGACTGGCTTATTTCACTTAGCATAATCTTTCCCAGGTCCATCCGTGCTGTTGCGAATGGTAACATTTTCTTCAGAGGAGTGACTTTTTCATTTCCACCTCCTGTCTCTTAAATGAGTAAAGAGCTCATCTGTGTAAAGTGCTTGGAATGGCGGCTGGCCTGCAGCAAATGTCACCCAAGGGGGCGATGGCCCCACCATGGCTGTACTCACCATGCCGAATCCGGAAGGATGGAAGTGACACCAGGCACCGCTCAGTAGTCACACATTTTGGAAATACATAAAAATTATCCCATTCTAGGGATGGGATTATAATAAATTCTGAAGTAGTGATTAGAATGATATATGATAAACATTTTAGTGGAGGTTTAGCAATTTTTTTTCTAAGAATATTTTTAAATGGTAACCTCCAAAGATCACGGTTTTAAAAAAGTGATGTAATTTATCCATTCTGTTTTGATGCTAAATATGTAAAGAGAAGTGTGACCATATCCATATCCTCAGGTATTATTTTAATTTTGGTTCTGAAAGCCGACACTTGAAATCACACACGGGTAGGAGCTGCCCTATGTGCATGATCCCCCTCAGTGTCAGGTGTGGACCGCAGAAGGTGGGGCCATGTTCCTGGCATGAGATGGTCTGGTCATGGGCACAGGCTTTGGCTAACTGCCTATTTCTCATTTATGACCTTTCATTTTTCACCAATACAGGCCAACTTCCTCAAGGACTTAAAATATAAGAACATTTTCAGGAAATGAAATCGTAAGTATAGCACGATTACAACTTTCCTTACAGATAAAATCCGTAGACCCAGCCTGTTGGGGAATGTAAGAGCACATCTTCCAAAATATGACATCTTGTTTCTCACATGGGCATTAGCTCGTTAGGGCAACCACAGTGGTGCTTGTGTTCAGTTATCAAAAGACTTTAATATCTTCAACTCTGTGAGAACGCACAATCTTATCTTTGTAACTGTATTTAAAAATATGGCTTTTTATTGCCTCAAAGAACAGTAACATTCAGTGGGGAAAGGACTAGCAGATAAAAGTTTCTGTCGTGTTGCAACAACAAAGGTAGATTGTTCAAAGGGGTTCAAATTCACAAGTATCAACGCAAAGCTCTCACACCTTACTCTTCAAATGCGTCCTGTTCTTACTTCTTTCTGCTAAGATGCCACACTATGGAACTTGAATGAGAAACACTATGTTATGAAGAAAACCAAGGACATCTGGAAAAGAGCGGTGGGGCTCTAAAAAGTACCGCTTTTAGAGTCAGCCAGACCTGGACTCTGATCCCAGTGCTACCAATCCCAAGCTTTGTGATTCTGGGTAAGTTACTCAATATCTCTGAGCTCCAATTTCCTCAAACAGACACTGAGAAGAATATGTCCTCACGGTGTTTTTGCAAGGCTTTGTGAGTTCCTTCATGTAAAACACTTAGCATATGGTGTGGCGCAGAGGACATTTCTTATTTCCTACACTGTGCTCCCAATACACTATATTTGGTCTTCACTATAAAACTAAGTCGTTCTTACAGAACTGACCTTGTAGTATCTCTCAAGGCTGTCCTGTATCATTCAAGACTGCCTTGGTCCCCAAACTATGACATTTATTCGACACATTGTGGGTTTCTCCTCCAGGCAAAATGTACCATCCTTGACTGAGCCTTGATTCAAGTGTTTGAGACCTCTGTCTGGCCTGTTTAACAAGAGCTACACCTATTCCTCATTTGTAAAAATGACACCAGCTCAAATGCTTTGCCCTCCGTTGACAGTGAGTGAGAGGAAGGATGGAAAGAAGAGGGAGGGGCACTTGCCAACACCCAGGAACATAGCGTGTCAGGAGGCAGAGTACTAGGCCAGGGAAGGAATCCTTGAGTGCACTGTGGCTTCCCTGGTCTTTGAAGAAGTTGGTTCTCCATAATAATCTGCTATGAAACTTCCTTCTGATCTAGACTTCCACCCTTCTAACCACAGTAAAACCAGCATTAGAGTCACAGTCCCACAACAATGAGCTCTGCAAGAATGACAGGTATCAAATTGAGTGCCTAACTTTTGGGCAATTCTCGGGTCAAAGTTAAACAGATTTCTTCACTGTAGAACATGAGAGCCTTGAACTTGCCAGTAAACACGTGGGTCTTCAAGAAAGGGCATAATATGCAATATTTCATAAACTGACTTATTCACTGAATTCTTTTCTCATGGAAGGTCTACTGACACCTTATGAGAATGAGAATGAGATAAACATTAGTCCACACTCATCAAAGACTGTCCTGTTCACCTTAAAGCCCAGTAGCAGCCATCTGTAGATTGCTTTGTAGTTCATGCCAGTGGCCCTGGGCAGGACACAGGTACCAGCTGACCTTGGCCAGCACAACCAGGGAGGCCCCAGAGCCAATGCACCTGTTGGACAGCTTCAGACCACATCAAAGCACCACCCAACTACCTCCACAAACGGCACGCTCAGGAGGCAGACTCAGCTGGCATCCCTGCCCTGAAGTAAGTCCTGCTCCACGGAGTGTGCCCCTGCAGTTGATCCTCCAAGGTGGTTGCAGCCAATCCTTGCAACCAATTAGCCTGTGGGTAAATCCCTCCCATTGATGTGTCAACAGCAATCAATGCTCAACTACAACAGGAAGGTGTACAGCCCACATGGAGGATGCACCTGGGGTGCCCAACTCAAATAATCATGGCAGCTGTGCCACTGGACCCTACAGGTCACCTACTACATAAGGCTACTCTACCAAGCCTGGGAGATGTAGCAGCTCTATCTAACACATAAAAACAAACACAAGGAGGCTGCCAAAAT